CCCAGAATAATACCACCTTGGAAGCACCAAAAACTTATGGACCTTCCCAAACCTCAGAAGTAGCTCTGAAAATAGCCACACACACACACACACACACACACACACACACACACAAAGACTGAAGTTTGGGACAATGCCTCCCCACCCCAAGATGAGCAAAATCCAACTTTAGCATAAAGTTCAAACCCAAGAAACAGGTTATGAAAATGAGCAAACAACAAGAAAAGAATTAGACCATAAAAAAGCTACTATGCTGGCAAAGAAGACTAATACATAAACCCAGAAGAAAACAATAATGTGAAAAACATCTACCAAAAAAGCCTCAAAGAAAAATGCTAATTGGACCCAAACCCAGTAAGAATTTCTGGAAAAGTTTAAGAAAGAGATAAGGGGTGAAGGGAGGGAAGGAATGAAAGTGATGCAAGAAAATTATAAGAGAATCATTTGTCTTTCATTTTCAAAGAGTTCCAGTGACATCACAGGTTATGAATTTGATTTAAGTGAGGCAAAATTATGCAAAGTCAGAAGTCTGACTCTTCCTTCCAGAGTCATTAAATCCAGTGGCAGGACAAAAGTCAAGATGACTGGTGATGGTCTGGGATACGTGGATAACTTTGGTGTCTGATGTCTAACCAAGCTCTAAGCACTCCATAGTACCTGATTTATCACCTTTATGGTCACTGGAAAAAATTGTTCTCATCTATCTATTCCACTGGGAGAAGTCTTCACATACTTAAGGTAAACATCCCCTTAACTCACCAATGGGTTTAAGGCCTGTCAATTACTCTCAACCAAGTTTGGCTTGTCTGCTGAGACAGTTTTATCAGGGTGTGGCTGCTATACAAGTTACAGCTTCTTGGAACCAGAACTTAGTAAAAGAGGCGCAAAAAATACTGAAGAAAACAACACCTTAAAAGACAAACTAGGCCAAATGGTAAAAGACACAAAAATCCATTGAAAAGAAGAATTCCTTAAAAAGCAGAATTGGCCAAATGGAAAAAGAGATACAAAATCTCACAAAAGAAAATAATTCCTTAAAAATTAGAATTGGGCAAGTAGAATCTAATACCTGCATGAGACAGTGAGAAACAATAAAATGAAGTCAAAAGAATGAAAAACAAGAAAATATGAAGTATCACATTGGAAAAACAACTGACCTGGAAAATAGATTGAGGAGAGATAATTTTAAAATTATTGAACTATCTAAAAGCCATGATCAAAGAAAAAGCCTAGATCTCATACTTCAAGAAATTATCCAGGACAACTGCCCTGATATCTTAGATTCAGAAGTTAGAATAGAAATTAAAAGAATTCACTGATTACCTTCTGAAAGGGATCCCCAAATGAAAACTCCCAGGAATAGTATAGCCAAGTTCTAGAGCTTCCAGCTCAAAAATAAAACATTTCAAGTAGCCAAAAAGAAAGAATTCAAATTTTGGTGATCTACAGTATTATTATGCTGTAAGAAATGACATGGTGGGTGGTTTCAGAAAAACACATCAAGAACTATATGAATTGATGCGAAGTGAAGTAAGAGAACCAGTAGATCATTGTGCGTAGTAACAGGAACATCATAATGATGATCAATTGTGAAAGATTTAGCTACTTTCATCAATACAATGATCCAAGACAACTCTAAGGATTCACAATGAAAAAAATGCTATCCAACTCCAGAGAGAAAACTGATGAATTCTAAGTGAAAATTTAAGTATAATTTTTTCATTATCTTTTTTTTTTACTTTTTCTTGAAATATGGCTAGTTTTGCATTATTTCACATGTAAAATTGATATCATATTGCTTGCCTTCTCAGTGCGAATGGGAGGGTATTCAAGGGAAGAAGAGAAGACAGAACTCAAAATTTAAGAAGAAAAGAATTTCAAAAACAAATAATCAATTAAAATGTTAAAAAGGAAAAAAGAAAACAAACCTTTTAGCATTTCTAGGAGAGTGTTGATGCTACTAATATGGGTTTTTGTGGCAAGAGGCAGAAACACAAAATATATTCTTTTGGAAGAGGGGGAATATGAAGGTATTTGGCAGAATACATATTTTATTCGGATGTGAAGAGTAACATGAGGGACTCAAAAAGAGTATTTTATTGGAACAGAATACACACACATATGCATGGGAACTTCCTAAACAACCTTTTTGCAAGCTTGAGTTATAAATATATATGTGTGTGTATGTGCATAATACTCATATACATGTGTGGGTAGAAGGTTGTTGTTGGGGTTTTTTCAGAAGTATTTTGTAGAAAAAAATGTCCCCATAAATCATTAGCTGTGGAAAGTCTCATAGTTGGACTTCGTGTTTTGGAAAAATGAATCAAAATTAAAGGGTTAGGAAATACCATTTTAAAAGATGTTTTCCATTTATTAGCTCCAGTTTTAGTGTTTATTTTAGTCTCTTTTGTTCATGCTTTATTTGCCTCGGAAGAGGAAACATGAAAAATTACATCAAATACAAAGAATTCTTCACTTTCATTACCTTGTTTCCCATTATTTATTTTTTAAAAATCACTTTATCTAATTAAAAAAGGTTCATTAAACAGACCAGGTACCATTTTTTGGGTGGGGTTAGGCAATGGAGTTAAGTGACTTGCCCAGGGTCACACAGCTAGTATGTGCTATGTGTCTGAGGTTGGATTTGCACTCAGGTCCTCCTGAATCCAGGGCCAGTGCTCTATCCACTGTGCCACCTAGCTGTCCCCTAGGCACTATTTTAAATATAGAGTAGTTTCCATTGAAATGTCAATCAATCAATCAATCATCAAGTGTCAATTGAGCACCTACGTTGCAGGCAATAAGTTAGGCACTGGAGATAAAAGTGAAACATTCCCTAACCTTAAGAAGCTAATGGTTGGAATAAAACACATTCAGAGATAAGTACATAAAGTATATATGATATATGATATATATGTATATACACATTCATGTGTTATTTGCTTGTGTGTTCTATATGTTTCTATATGTAGATGTGTGTGTGTGTGTGTGTGTGTGTGTGTGTGTGTGTGTGTGTGTATGGGGTAGCTAGGTGGCATAGTGGGCTAAACCCCATGCTTGAAATTAGGAAAAATGGAGTTCAAATCCAGCCTCAGACACTCTCTGGTTGTATGACCCTGGGCAAGTTTAGCCTCTTTTTGCCTCAGTTTCTTCATCTGTAAAATGAGGGTAATAATAGCACCTACCTCCCGTGGTTGTCATGGGAATCAAATGAGATAGTATTTTAAAAGTGCCACAGTGCTTGCCAAATGGTAGAGGTTATATAAATATTATCATCATGTGTGCACATATATGTGCATATGTGTCTATATAAATATGTATGTGTGTATATATGTTTGTATAACATATGTAATCTCTGAACTTGTTCTCTCAACCCCAACCAGTACTGGCAAACAAAATCCACAGTCCTTGGTTGATTATCCACTCAGACTCTAGAGAAAACCCTAAAGAATTGAAGGTTGTCTTTCATATGCCTCATGTGTGCTTCCCCCCATGATTATCAGTTGATAGCAATTAGTCAGTGAGACTTTTAGCTTTTAGAATAGAATATTTACTAACATGGTATAATTGGTACTGTTGATAGAAAACATCTCTTCCCTCAAAGTCTCCCATAATATATACAGAATCCAAGGGAAAGTGGACTCAATGTGGAAAAGTCAGGGTAAGGAGTGTGGAGAGCAATTCATAACTCCTGTAAATCCTTTTGCTAGGGTCCTCAAGATCTCCACAGGTATACTGAAGGTAATATGCTAGGCCAGGCTGCAGGTTCCCCACCCCTGTGCTGGGCTCTATGTAGAGCCTTGAATCTTGCTTCTTTATCTCATCCAGTCTTTCCTTGGCTCTAAATGCAGATAATACTATCAGCTGTTCTGAGGATATTGCTAGGATATCAATGGGAAGAGAAAAATCCCAAATCCTCTGGACCTTTAAAAAAGTACCCCTCTGCCCAAGATGGGGCAGAGAAGACCAAGACAATCTCTCCCTCCACCACCAAAGAGTTCCTTCTCAGGGGGTTGGCTGGAATATTCTCTCCTGTTTCAACATTTGCTAAATTCTCCTTTATGTTGGCAGATGCTTGAATCTTTGATTGCAACTACCCTCCTTGTTTTATGCAAGACCTACAGGGCATTACCAGGTTTCTTGACTCCAAACTTCTTGTTATACTTAGGCAATTGCTCAGGCCTTATTCATAGCTACTGAACCATTAAGAAGTGTTATCACCTTATAAATATATCAGGGTTAAATATGATAAGGTGATTTCAACCCTACTCTTACATGTACATGTATATGTTGGTGCATTTATAATGTTATATATGTGTATACATGCATATGTCATTTACACATATTTATGTGTATAAATTTATATATATCTACATATATATGTATATATATATGTGTGTGTGTGTGTATACACACACACACACACACACATATGCATTTACACATGTAACACATGCAGAAAACAATTTGGCAGGTGCACCAAGAATGCAGAAATCAGGAAAGCTTCTTGAAGGGGATTGGCAGTGGAAGTCGGCCCTTGAAGGAATATAGATGTTCCCAGTGGCTGAGGTGAGGAGGAAAGACAGACTAGAAGTGGTGCAAGGCCTGTGCAGAGACACAGAGGTGGGAGGTGAAGTATAACATACAGGAAGCTACAGCCTAGGTGGGGTATAGCATACATGAGAGGGATTAAGGTGGAATCTTCCTAGGAATATAGACCAGACACAGATTGTTCAAGGTTTTAAACTCCAAATAGAAAATCTTGCACTTTATCCTAAAGGCAATAAGTAGCACATAGGATTTATATCTCTAGAGTTTTACAGTTATAAATGTGATGTGCACAATCTCATGTTTTCCTTACAGCAATCCTATGAGTTAGATTGAACTAATATCCCAACAATTTTTCAGATGAGGAAGCTGGAGCTCAAGAAGATTAAACAATTTGCCCAAGAATACACAGCTTACACATGGCAGAGCCTAGCAAAGACACAAACCCATGTTTTTGGACCATTTTAATATCTTTTCATTGTGATATGAAAGGGCTTCTTGCTACTCATTTGCAAGCTACTCAAAAGCTAAAACTGGAAAATTTAAGTCCACAGGTGTTGCCAAACAGTAGTAGTTCTTTCTGTAGCTGCTGATAGATGTATGAAAAAGTTGGTGTTTGGAGCCATCTGAATGGGTCTGTATGTCTCCCTAGACTTGTAGCTCCTAAATCTTCTGGTTCCCATGACTTCATTCAGCAGCTCAAACCTGGAAACCCACATGGACACAGATCGCAAAGAGAATCAACTGAGGAACTATGGGAAAAAACACATAGGAAATGTATGATTTTTAAATAAATACTGAGAATAGCTGAACTAAGAGATTTGAAAAGAGATTCATTCCTTGATTTTCCTCAAAATGTTGTAGAGATCATTAATAATTAACAACCAGTTTATTGTGAATCTATTGAAAGAACAAGAAAATTTATTAGTGACCAGAGTAAGGTCACAGTGCAATGAAATTATGTTATTAAGATTGTACCTGATATACATACAGAAATGGTTCCAGTAGAGTCTTGGAGAACCTTAGAAGAAAGGCTTATTTGCTATATATTATTATCAGTGAAGATCAGAATTACATTAGTTGTGTGTTGCTTTTAAACGAAAGCTGGAATTTGGTTCATTCATCCAGTTTAATTAGAGACAATGAACTATGGTATTTTCTCACTTAACATATGTTTGTTTGTATTTCAAGTTTATACAAGTACATTCTCCTTTACAGGTGAAAATCGAACATAATAGCTTTACTTCCTTGAAGGAAAAAAACCAGTCTATATTAAAATCCAATGGAGCATTAGGGAGGTTGACATCTTTCAATTCAGCTCCTCTGTCTCTTTGATACTTGGGAGTTAATTCATAAAAACACAATTTGACATTTCTATAAATTATTTTGTAAAATGCAGTTCTACAGTTCTCAAACATTTGGATAAGGGGGGTTCTTTCATGAAAGATTAATAGATAAAAGCAAAACAGTAATTTACTGGGCTTGAGCATTCTTTTGGCTCTTTTTTATAGCTTTTGTTGGGCTTAAATGTCTGCAATACTGGTACATAGTGTTTAGACTTTAAATCTTGATTTTCAGAGATGAAGTTACAAATAATTGTAGTCCTGTTTATTTATTTGTTAGTTACATGCATGACAGAAGCATTAATAATTACATTGTATGGTGGGAGGGAAATTATGTACATGTTGCAGAGACCATATTGATCAGCAATGAAATGAATAGTTTGTGTGCAGCTCTTCTGAGCAGCAGAAATAATTCTCTCTCTGTCTCTCTGGCTCTGGCTCTGTTTCTCTCTCTCTCTCTCTCTCTCTCTCTCTCTCTCTCTCTCTCTCTCTCTCTCTCTCACACACACACACACACACACAACACACACACACACACACAACACCTCTCACCTAATATCATTTTCAGGGCTTTTCTACACGTGGCACTTTCCACTCCCCTTTTCCTGTGTTGTTTTGCTTCAAAGCATCCTCTTCTTCCCTCCGATCTCAATTAATTCCCTGTTCTACATGCCACTATGAGCATGTTTTGACCTACTGTACTTTTCCTTTATAGTAATCTCTCCTACTTAGTGTCTGAGAGACTCATCATCATCATCATCTCCATTTTCTACCATAGTTTCTAAATTGTAGTTTGTTCATTTGTTTAACTTCATAGATATTGAAATCTGTCACTTCTGTCTCTAAATCTCTGACATCATGACTTCACCCTGCCCTACTTGAAAGAGAATTCAAATACAAGGATCCATGAGGTGTGAGGCAAGAAAGGCCATTTACAGCCTACTTTCTTATGACTTAATAGAGCAAGACAAAGGGTTCCAAGGGACCTTGGAGGAGATTGACTCCCACCCCTTCATTTTACATTTGAGAAAATGGAAGCAAAAAGAGATTAAATGACTTGCTCAAAGTCATCCATAGAGGCAGAACAAAATTTGAACCCAGGTGCTTTGACTCTAAATTCAGCACTCCTTCCAAACTGCCTTCCATCTAAGGAGTTGCCTCAATAACCCAAAAGTTAAATGACTTGCCTAGGTTCACACAGCTGGTAAGTGCCAGAGGCAGGATTTGCAAGCTTTCTTTCAAGCCCAACACTCTCACCACTATACCAAGCTGTTACCAGACAAGAGAATGGGAAAAGGAGAGTTGCTATTGGGAAGCACCTTTATAAATGTATTGCAAGGAGGATAGATTGATTATTGTCTTCTCCCAATGACTTATAGCCTCCTTTTGTGGGAATGTGATGTATAACAAATTTAAGGAATCATTCTCATGTAATATTCTCTCTTTGGCCATTCTTGCTCCCATCTGAGGTGGCCTGACAGAAATTTGGCTACACTGTTTTATAGTCTTCCTCCAAGATGAGTAAATGAGAGACATCTGCTGCCAGCCAGTGGGGGGAATTACTCTTCTTTGGCCAAAGACACAAGTGTGAGAGTAGTGAATTTGCTTAATGAGAAAACAAAGAGCCAAGAGCAAAAGCATGGAGGGGTTTTCTTGCATCCTTACCCCAGAATCCTTCTAACTTTTGCATCTGGGTTCCCTACAATCCTACCCACGGGAACAGCAACAAATCAAATGGGATATTCCTGCCCTCTTCTACATCAAGGACAAGATTACATCCAGGAAGCAAGTAAGCCTTATGGGAGAAAAATTGGTAGATTCCCTTGATTTGGGTCTGAGTGTAAATAGTCTGAGTTTAGGAAATAGAGGACCTTAAAGTCTACTGGGTACAATGGTAATATTATATATGAAATTGGAAGGTCTCAAAGACTCTTGACAAGAAGAGTAACATAATGTTAATGTACTTTGAGAAAGATAACTCCTAGAGCTATGTGAAAGATAATTAGAATTAAGGCAAGGAATGTCAAGACAGCAAACTTTTATTAAGCATTTACCATGTACCAGGCATTGTGCTACAGGCTGAGGATACAAATATAAACAAAAAGAAATACAGTCTCTGCCCTTAAGGGGTTCACATTTTAATGGAGTAAGACAACACATAAAAAAGAAAGCCAAAAAGGGGGGGAAGTAAGAAGGTACCCCATGGCATCATGGTGGCAAAGGTCATAGAATCAGAGGCATAGACAGGTGGGGAATGAAACATGGGCAGCCTGAGCTCCTCCCCAAAATGGAGGCTCTAGAAGGAATTTGCCAGTAGGAGAAGGGGACCAGCATGATAGGGAGATATTCTAAGGTGAGAAGGCAGCAGAGTCAGAGTGGCAAAGGAAGAGAGGACCTTGCCACACGGGATACCCTTCTTCCCTTTTTATCCTCTTAATCCCTTTAAAACTCCCCCACCCTAGTCAGTCTAGAGTGCAAGAAGACCCATAATCATTGGAGATGCTTTGACCCCTAGCATTTCTCTGTCAATCCATCCCCTGATGGGGGTCACCCAAAATCTATCCATCAGGGTTGCTTGACTGATGCCATGTCTTAGAAAAGATGAGAATTAATAACTGTATCCCTAAGGAAGGACAGTAGATCTTACCATCTGTCCTTTCTCTGCCTCTTCGTGTTCCCCAGACCTCATCATCTGTTTGCCTCTATATCCTGCAGACTCCCAGTACTGTAATCCCACTCATGGAGATCTGAAGACCTTGGTCCTTGCCATCCTCCCCTTGTGGTGCCTTTTCCATTCAATATCAATCCAATTCCACCTAAACACCTACCCATGAACACCCTGGGTTATCAGATCAGAGCAGGAACAGTAACACATCTGATGATGCAGAGCCAAGTATATTCCCACTACCTTCTTAACTAGAGACAAGAGTATACTCAATAATGAATTAGTTCTTATGGAAAAAAATTTGGCAGGATCCATAAGCTATGAACTTTTAAAAATCATGGACATCATTCAATAATAACATCTGCCAGTACTTCTACACCCAAGGATGTAATTCATCTGGCCAAGTGATTTGTATATGAATAAGTCATGACAAAGTAACTTTTTGATAGGAAAGCATCTGATCTCTGCAGAGATCAGGAAAGTGATACAAGTTGTTGCCCTATTTTTTATCCTTCCTTTTACAAACTGTTAGGGGGGAAATTGGCTATATCCAATGCTTCCATTTCATTTCCTCTCAATTTTTATCCTTTTGGAATCTGGCTTCTAGCCTCATTGGTAAGTGAAACTGCTCTCTCCAAAGTTGCAAATGATCTCGTAATTGCCAAATCTCATACCTTTTTCTCAATTTTCATTTTTCTTTACCTACAGCTTTTCATATCATTGGCCATACTTTCCTCCTGAATATTCTCTTCTCTGGGTTTTCTTGACAGTGCTCTACAATTTTTTCTCCTCCTACTGGTATCTGTCAAGGTACGATAACCCTACTCCTGAGCCACCATTCCTTTCACTAGATTTTATAACCTACCCCTGGCACTATGACTCTGCCTAGACATTCCCCTGCCCATTGCTTGCTGAAAGAATCCCCTGTTATCCTACTATGCTCACCTTCTGGAATGCCTACTTTTTGCTTCCTGATTGACATTCCTATTACCAACTGCTCATTAGCTTGTACCAATCATATTCTCCTTCCATGCTCCTCCTAAGCAAACTTCAGTCAGGTCTCTCTCTCTCCAAAGAGCTCTGGTTAAGAGAGAGCAATAATTGAAGCTACAGAAGGATACAGTCCAAGGCACTAGTTAAAACACCTCTAAATTTGATACTTCTTAGAAGCTAGCTCTCGACATTCTTATCTCTGAACATCCCAGCCCTGCTACTTATTACTTGTGTAATCTTAGGCAAATTACTTAATCTCTCTGTACTTCTATTTCTTTATCTATATGCAGTGTGTGGGCACATGCATATACACATAATGGGTTGAATTAGATGACCTCTAAGTTTCCTTTCAGCTCTAAATCACTAATATTATGATCTATAGTAGAGAAATTTTTAGCAAGGAGTGGAATTATTACACAATTTCTCCATACTGAAAGCATTTTTACTCCAGCTGTGTGCTGGAGACTTTGCCCAAAAGTGCCATTGACTCACATGTTTACAATTACGCCACCTTAAATCTTCTAAGCAAACATGTCTCTCCCCTTTCTGACTAGTCTGAAAGACTCCTGAAATGAGAAAAGTCATGAGATTAATGAGCAACATCTGTCCTAAAAGATGATGATAGAAACACTACACTATGATATAATACTAACTCATTGATCATAAGAAAATACACAGACTATTCTCCCTGTTTCTAATAGAATGTTAATCAAAGACAAAAAGGGAAAACCACTAGCCCTGCTCATTCATT